CAGGTGGGTTTCCACTCCCAGAATTCCCCAGCCAGCATGCTTTAAGATGTCCAAGTTGGGACAGCTTGGAGAAACCTAATCAGGAAGACATATTCAGACAACAGCACAATATTTGATTTTAAGGCTATGCCTACCAAGGAAAGGAAATATATCGGTTTTATTCTATTTTATTTATTTTTTTATTTATTGATTTGTCAATTGCTTATAAGGTAATAGGAATAAGTATAAACATGAGTAAGAATACAGGAAATAGGTATTTATTTATCCCACCTTTATTATAAGTTATTGGAGGTAGTAAACATACATAACATTCCTTCTTTGGCTTATGTTCCTCAAAACAACAACTCTGTGAGGAGGGTCAATTGGGCTGAGAGTGTATGTCTGGCCTAAACTCACCTTGTCAGCTTTCACAACTAGGGCAGGACTAGAACCCACTGTCTCCTGGTCATTGGCACAAAATCATACAGCTGGCTTTCATGCATCAGATTGAACTAGAATTCACTGTCTTGTGGTGATTGGCCCAAATTCACCCAGATGGCTCTCACGTCAAGACTAGAACTCTCCTAGTCTCTAGATCAGCACTTTATCCACTAGGTCAGATTGCCTCTCATTTCCTTTTGTCAGATGTCTGATTATCCCACTTTGGACTGGCAAGCAGCATGTAAAAAGTCTTCAAAGAAATGTTATATTTAAACAGATAAACTGTATCTCCAGCAAGCAAGTGGAAAATAGCTTCAGAAGTTTTGGAAGGATTTTGATTTCCAGTGAGAACGTTTAAAACTTTGTAAAATTTTGTAAGGCAGGATGATTGCACAATAAGGACCTTTTCCTAAATTAAGCACAAATGGAGAATTTCCTTTCTAGCACAGATCAGAAATGTCAGTGGCAAATCCTTAATTCCTCTTCCCCTTTGTTTGCAAGCCAGCAAATAATAAGAGCAGCGTACATTTGAGTGCAGGAAAAAAAAAACCTTCTGGAAATTTAAGGTTAGTCATGCATTGGTTATATAAACTTTGGAAGTTTGCCAGTGAGAGGAATCCTGTACATACTTAACACAAAATATATCTTTGTAGGATTTTACATATATACATAGGATTGGTTGGTCAATTATTTATTTAAAAACTAATGATGCCCTACATATTTAAAGGTATTGATGAAAAGGCAAACATAACAACATTGTGAAGAAATCTGCAAATTCCAACTTCATTTTAATAAGACATTTACTTGGAAGGGAACACTATTAAAATCAGACCATTCTAAGTAACCACACTCAAGACCAGATGGCAAAATACCTTTCCATTTATGTTGAATAAATCCAGATGTCCTCTCCAGAACAAGAATGTGAGAGCCTGTTATCCCAAAAGGAGAATATTGGTAGCTGCAGCTTGAACTGTAGGGTTCTAGGCACCCTCTGAGTTTGGTTGTTCTTGCAAGTGTTTCAAGACCTGACTAGAGAATATCATCAGTGCTAGAAGGACAGTTTGCATAGAAGAGGAGGAAGATTGTGGAGTCCTTGGTGCTCTCTAAGTTTGGTTTTCATGTACGGTTCATGACCAGATTAGGAAACATCAGCAGGGCTAGAAGGGAGTGGGCTTTGTGGAGGGGAGGAGGAGCAGGAGAGGACTATGGGGTCCTTAGTGCTCTCTGAGCTTGGTTACTTTCTTGCAAGCATTTCATACCCAACTAGGGAATATCATCAGTGCTGGAAGGGAATGGAGTTTGCAGAGAGGAGGCAGCGATTTGGTGCTTTCTGAGTTTGGTTTTCTTAAAAAGTCTAATGAATCAACTAGGGAACCTCATTAAGACATAAGACATAAGAATTTATTTGTCATTACACTCGCAAGCGGGTGCAACGAAATGAGGTGCTCTTCCACAAGTAAAACTGGACAACACCATTGAAAGAAAAATAAAATTAAACACAACAGACCATACAATAATCTCTATACAATTTA